CGACAGTAGAGACAATTCCTGCGAAACATACTGATTGTCAAATCGTAAAAAACATTTAATATTGCCATAACTACATACATATTTGAGAATTACCTACTCCTACATATTTTGACCGCTCTAGCTTTCCATGCTTCAGGTTTGGGACACAAGACCTCTTAATAAAACTCCTCGGACTACCCGATTCAAGAAGGGATAAAAAATCAAAAAACTTTGTGCACCTGTCTTGCCTATCTTTAAAAGCGACACTTACCGTTTGTAATTCACGCACTGCTCTCACTAATTCGGCTTCTTTCTCCTCACTTGTCGAAGTCTGCGCTGGTTTGTTGACAGCAGCCACTAATCCTCGCCTCGGGCAGGCTTGGTAGAGATGCCCTAACTCTCCACATTTGAAACACGAACCCATTGCTCGCTTCGGCTTTGGACAATGGGCAATTGTAGCAACGTGGTGCCTCAGACTGGGCAGTAGCTGCGCCCACGGCAACCGCAGGATTTGGTTTGACGGTCTTCACGCCGGCCAAAGCTTTCGGGCGGAACTTCTCGTAGCGGTCTATCTGCACTTTTAGCTCTCGCACGGTGTTCGCGTGGTAGAGCATCGTTGCCGCCCCTGACTTATCGCCTATACCGGCAATAACAGCATCAAGAAGATCTCGCTCTGGTATGTTCGCTTTGCTCGCGATCACCTGCATCTCCAACAAATAACGCTGGACACTGATTGCCCTTTAGTTTCCTTGAGCTCCTCATACACATCCAGCAAAGAATAAGCGATCGCGAACTGTTCGGTTAGAGCCGCTTTCATGCTGAGGTAGTCTGGTGCTACCGCCGTTCTGGCGAACAATTTCGCAGTCCCATCCAAGAACCGACGCAAGCACAGCAGCTGCATTCGCTTATTAACGCGCATTATTACAAAAACGTCCTCCAGCTCGAAAAACCATTTGCGGATATCATATTTGTCGTCACCGGCAAACTTAGGTACCATCGCCTCGACTGTAGCTATGTCGATAAAACCACCCTGATGCGATTGATCTTGCAGTTGTTGGATCTCGCGTTCTAAAGTTAAAATTTCTCGTTGTTTCCTCAACCGTGTAATTCCCGGCTCCAAGTCCTCAGCTCCCGTAAACTAGGATGGAGGAGCGCTCTGGCTGTCTCTTTCTACATTGGCCGTAGCACTAGTGACGGAAGTAGCAGGAATATTGGCATTGTCCTCCGATACATGCGCAGCAACGGAAGACATAGGGGAATCGACTACCTCAGATACGTCAGTTACCAACAGGTTAGGTTCCGAAGTTTTGTCCTGAGTTGGATTATTAGCAGCGCTCACTTGGACACCCATGACCTCATCACAAAGTGAACGCAGTTGCGCGATGGTCGCGGTTTTCGGAAACGCAATTCCGGCTTGTGCTAACACCTCCATAAGGCTTTCTCCTAACCCGGATATTTCCGACATCACAATTCGTGTACACAGATATATTATTTAAGCAAACTTCCGATTAGCTTTTTGGGCAATACCCACTTCTGAAGGGCTGAAATAGCCCAACATGACCCTGGAATCTTCTGATTAATTAGAGAGCGTTTTTCTTGCGTACCTCACGCTTTGATGTCCCAACCGGAAGAGGGCATTTTTATTCTTCTTTTTCTCTTATTACATTTTCAGGGTACCCACATTAACAACAATTTCTTACAAACTACCAATGTTACGTTGGCACATAAATACTTTTACGAATATGGACCAGTTAACTAAAGTGTTGTTTACCCAAATCACAAATCTAACGTTGCCACATAAAACTTCTTACAACTACAAACTATTAAACTAAAGTGTTGCCGTGGGACATTCCTTACACAAGCAACACTTAATTGTCCATTTTAATTTTTCAATCCTTGCCGCTGGGGTGTAGTGGTAAGCAGTGCGCGCTTCCACTCTACAACACCTGGGTTCAAGCCCTGGTCAAAGCAACATCGCAAAAAAATATAAAAAAAAACGGTTTTTTCTTAACAGCGGTCGTCCGTCGGCAGGCAATGGCAAACCTCCGAGAGGATTTCTGCCATGAAAACCAGCTTCTCATAAAAAAAAAATACAATCGCCGTTCGTAGTCGGCGTAAAACTGTAGGTCCCTCCGCTTTGTGTGACAACATCAAGGCGCACGCCACAAATCGGAGGAGAAGCTCGGCCAAACACTAACATATGTGTAAGCGCCAATCTATTATTATTATTATTATTATTATTATTATTGAAATAAACTGAATAAAAAAACTAGGGATGTGCCGGATAGAGATTTTGCCGGATAACCGGATTCCGGATACCAAGTAAAAAATAAGAGTAGGATTCGGATATCCGGTAGACTGCTGCTCACAATATTGTTATATTCAGTTTTTTGTTTAGCGACATACTTATGACCAGATTATCTGCTTTTTCGAGCTTAACTATCCAATACGCAAATAATAATACAAAATTGTTCCCCTGAAATCCGAGTCACAAAATAATCCAGTATGAAAAAGATAACTTTTCCTTCTGCATCCGTGATTTATCGATTATTTTTGGTAAATAGAGGGAAACGTCAAAGACAAACGATAAACAATAATGAACGCCGCTAAGCAAAAACGCGTGGCTGTATTTTTATTAAAAACTATGATGGAAACCATTATGCATGCTTACGTATCGTCTCGCTTCCCATATCGGTCGTAATGCTTCATTGTTGCAAATTTTTGTGACCCACATTCCAAAACTCGTTTTTTCTAACATCAATAATTCTAAAAACGGTGGATGGTGAACTAATTCGAATATATAAATCAGCTAGCATGGAGAAACCAGTTGAATCATATGAAAAAAGCTGAACTCTAGTGAAAGCTTCTATTGAAGAGCGAGCTACCCAGGATATTTGGCAATGCTTTGAGGAAATCGCCAACGGCTCTGATGTTGATTCCAGTTTTTGTAGTGATCTGGATAGAAAAACTTTGGGTAGACAAGGTCGGAACCGTTCAAGAAAAAGGGCAGCGATTTAGAAATGGAGAACCCAGACAAGAAGATCCTTTTATTTGGTGTAAGCATAGTCGTAAAGAATTTCCAAATTTGTTTACACTGGCAATGAAACATCACCTTCCTCAGTGAACTCAAACAGACCCAGTGGGAAAATTAATGTATAGTTATCGAAAAAATAATCGGTAAAACAGCCGTTTTCGTATTCGAAAATGCGTTATTTTTCCCACGTCGATGTCCTAGGAAAAGTGGGGCACTCATTTTTGCATTACCAGTGATTTAATATGAAATATTTGCGAGTTTTTGGATACATTAGAATTCTGATTACATATTAAACAGAAATAGAATCTGGAACTCATTAGAAATACATTATATTAGGGCTGTGCGATTATTCGATTACTCGAGCAAGTTGGTTAATCAATTATTCGGTTAATCAATTACTCGAGTAATCAAGATTTTGATTACTCAAAACGATGATTAATCGAGTTACTTGAAATATGATTACTCAAAAAAAATAATTTTGCTCGTTAAAAGAGTTTACTTTGGAAAATGCTTATTTTCTTTTTTACATTCTGTATATGAAAAAATGTTTCCTTTTAATTTTTGAAAACAGAAACGTTGTTTTCAAAGTATCAAGGAACTTTAACTACTTTATACATATGTAAAGAGTTGAAATGTTGATTACTCATTTTACTCGAAATGTTGATTAATCATAAAGCAAATTACTCAAATATTTTTGTTTTTGGTTAATCAAAAATCTTGATTACTCGAGTAACTGAACTTTTGAGTAATCATAATTTCCGATTAATCGAATAATTGAGTTATTTACTTTATGATTAATTAAAATTTTGAGTAATCAATTAATCGCACAGCCCTACATTATATTATTTATCACGCATGTAATGCATTACCACTTTTACCACTGGGGAGTGTTTAGAACCTAATACTATCCTTATTTATGTTGCCCGATAATGCAGAAATGCTTCTTTTTATAATGAAAAATATATAAATTTTTAACTCTTAATTACTAATTAGATACTATTAAATTTGATTAAAAAACTACAAAAAAACTTCTGAACTAGATTTTTAAAGTTAATCTTCTATAATCGAAATCCGGAAATCCGGCCGGATTTTAGGCAGTATCCAGCCGGATAGTCGGATAACAGAAGAACGGCCGGATAAGCCGGATTCCGGATATTTACCGAATACCCGGTACATCCCTAAAAAGCATTAAACTGTACACTAAACTTTGTTGTTTTGCGAGCATATTTGCAAGCATATTTACCAATGTTTTGATGCTTATATAAGCGCTTAAAATGGATTTTTTCTTGCTTATTTTCTTCGGCCCTGGTGATGAACAACTTCCATAGAAAATCAAGTCATTTAGCTGCGAATTTCTTTAAAGTCTTTTTATTGAATAAATTAACTAATTTTATGATGTATTATTCTTCATGATTGGCGTTGTAACCGTCTAAGCGATTCTGCTTTTCAATTTTCTACTGAGCCCAAAGTGGCCGCTGGCGTCCCGAATATGTCAATATCATCTGCATTCGAGCGCAGCATAGTGCTTTTGCTGTATATGGTGCCGTTGCAATTCAGATTGCCAGATGTTATTACGCTTTTCAGCATGAGATTGTAAAAGATGCACGAGAGTGAATCGCCTTGTCTAAAGCCTCTCTTGGTCTCAAACGGCGCAAAAAGAGGTCCTTCCAAATATGAACGGAGCTGATGGCTATGCTCCACGTCCATCTATACAGCTATTAGTTCTGCGGGGATCCCAAATTTGGACATGACGTCTTATAGGCAGCTTCTCATCTTTGTTAGAAATCTTCTTGCTATCAAAAGCCGCTTTAAAATCGATTTGCTTTATCACACTGATAAGATTAAATCAGTTGGTTCATGAAGGGTTACAGTCTTTCACATATTATGCTCGATAGGGCCTTATAAGAAAAATTCCATGACACATTTTAAATATGAACTTTTTTTACTTCTTTATAAAAATTAATATTTTTTAAACTTTATTTCATAGCAATCATTATATCCATCATTTTCTGGATCTGGATCAATGGCTAGCATCACTTCTGCAGGAGGGACTTCGAATAACTCTGCCAATTCACAACCTGAACCGCGTAAAGTTCGGGCTTTGTATGATTTTGAAGCGGCTGAAGAGAATGAATTGACGTTTTTTTCAGGCGAGATTATACATGTACTAGATGACTCCGATCTGAATTGGTGGAAAGGCTATAACCAACGCGGGGAAGGTTTGTTTCCATCGAACTTTGTAACCGCTGACTTGTCTGTTGACCCGGAACGTTTAGATATCAATCAACACAATAAAACGAAAAAGAGTGTGCAATTTGAAGATGATACCAAAGCATTGCAATTAAAGACTGAGGCTGCCGCAGCGGCAGTTGCCGAACAACGAATCGAAATCGATGAAGTAAAGATTGACCGTCTATTGCATCTTCTGCACGAAGCGAACCCTGAAGACCCTTCGCAAGATAGCGAAGAAATGCTGCGCTTAGAGCAGCAAGTACATCAAATGGGACCACTTATTGATGCCGAGTTGGAGCGTGTTGATCGCAAGCATGCACAACTAACGCAATTATCCAGTGATTTGGTGGACGCAATCAATCTGTATCATTCGCTTATGCGCGATGATCGTATGGGACTATCAGGTGGCCCCGTATCTGGAGGTTATATAGGTGGTGTGCCAGAAATGGTAAGAACAATGGCGGGTTTAGATTATCAAGGCGTGCCAAATGCACAAATGTTATACGGTGCAGTTAGCTATCCAGGCAATACACATTTTCCACCACATATTCAACGACCACAGGACATTCCACAGCAAAGTTACGGCATGCAATCGTTGCCCTACGCCAACGCTGTACTGATGGCCCGTAATCTCGCACCTGTTACCACTCAAAATTCCCCAAACGTGGCTTCAACAGTAGTATCGGTACCGGGCGGCAGTTATCCTATCCCCTTGGAATATCAGAATGGACACGAAAACCCAGGACAGCGGAATGAAAATGGTAAACGTCCATTTATTTAAATATTAAGAGTCTTTACTAAATATTAGATTTCCCTCACCCGCTTCGCTGAGTATATGAAGTTTCCGCCTGCTACATTAGGTGTAATTTTTTTCTATAAAACTCAACATATACACCGAGGATCAAAACCTGAACAGTAATACATAATGTGAATTTTCTTGCGATATATTCGCAATATATTAAGACTTTTTTGTGTTCTAGTTTCGGATTTCACATTTCCAATGTTTATTTCATCAGAAGGCCATAAAAACAATCATTAATACAAGCAGATAAAGAAGAAAATTGCAAAAAAACGTAGCAACTAGCATGTTCCAGTTTTGCACCCGATAGAAAGTTTTACCATTTGCTTGACTTTTAATAAATTGGCCATAACCAATTTGAATATTTTAGCTTTTATTGTCACCTTGGGATACTTTTACACAGTTTTTGAAGGAAATCTGTTTAGATTGCGTACAGGTTTTCCTCAACGCCATGCCCAAGGTCTTGCATGCGATTGGGTGCATTTCCCTAATTGGACAGTAGCACTTTCAAACATAAGTTTTCTTCCCAGTTTCAAATCTGGGCTTTACAAAGGCCATTCCATGATTATAAAAACTTGGGAGTTATACCTAATTGGCCCCAGTTTCGGAGCATGTTTCGGTTCATTGTCCTGTTAAAATTGATAAGAGCCTGCGAAAAATATCCTAATAGTTAAATCACCGTTTTCTCAAGTAACCTGTAACTTTAAAGCTCACTTTATATTTCAAGGTTGCATTAAAATTAATGATTGCTGTCTAAAGTAAAGCATTTTACTATCCGTTTTAAATTGTTTTACAACCAAGAAATATACATTCGTCGTAAGCCGATAATAGAAATGCTTAACTTTAGACATTGCTTTACTTTTAATCCAACCTTTAAATATTAAATGAGCTTTAAACTTAAAGGTTACTTCAGAAAACTGCCCTAAATATTTTGAGGGGTTAGGAGCAGAGCTGGGTAATTTTTGATAACGATTACATTTTAATTACGATTGCTTAATTGTAATCCTTAAATTATACACTGAGGGAAAAAAATATTAAAATCAAATAGAAACGTAATTGATCTTACTATAAACGTCAACGAAAGTACTGTATATTGGTAAATATTCAATTCAATTACGCGCATATTAAAATGACCGCGTTCGTAGTGAAAAAGCATCCGTGAAGTGAATAATCAAGACAAAAACTTAAAAAAAAATTTATTTGCATGTTGCCTGCAGCCTATGTGAAAACAGGGGCACTATTGGGATACCCATGTCAACCTGCAAATTAGAACTTCGAAATAGCATGATCCAAGAGGCCAACAGGTCATGGCTAGAGGAGGGCACATGTAGAACAACCAGGCTGCTTTGGCCGCAAATAGAAAAGAAAAAGACGAAAGAGTTGCTGTGCCTCTCAAGAGAGGACATTGCGAAGGTCACGGCTTGTGTAACCGGTCACTGGCTATTTGGCAGGCACTCTTCAAGACTAGGAATTTTCTCCCACGAATATTGCAGAAGTTGCAGAGATGAGGAAGAGGAAGAAACCGTAGAGCACTTCTTCTGCAGCTGCCCAGCTTTGGCCAAGAAGAGAGCAAGCTTTTTAGGCAGGCCCTTCTTTAGCTCTCTTACGGAACTATCACGCGTAGGAATAAAACCGATTCTACGCTTTATACGAGCCTCCAATTGGTTCTCTGAAGAATAGTCACCGAGGTTCCCGTGTTCTGCAGTGGTACCACAATGGACCTTCAAAAGGTCTAAGTGAGTTGGTAAATTGAACCGACTGCCACATCAACCTAACCTAACCTATGTTGCCTGCAGTGGAATTCGAACCCGACCATCACCGGACATCAACAACTTGTGGCAAGCATCTTTGCGCACTCAGCTACACCCAGACATATAAATTCACTTTCAAATGTTGAATATCCATCAACACCACAGCACGCGATTTGTACGGATAAACATGTATGTACTATCTATATGTGTGTGTTGTCACCGCTCTCAGGGTGGCGCTCTGCATGCTTGGGGTGCGTATGTGCACTTTACATATCCATATATACATACTCAGATGTGGACAGCAAAATACGTGCGTAATAAATTTTGTATGAAAATATTATTTTTAAATACGAACATTTTTAAACGATAATCAAATATAAAGTATTCATTTTTACTATGCATTATTTCCCTCAGTGTATGCGATTACGATTACTTTAATTATAATTATAAATGTTACCGTTATGATTATAATAATTGTAGTCTTAAAAATTCAAGGACTATGATTACTGGAATCGTAATCATGAAAAACATGATCAAACAAGTACAAAAAACTTCTGAACTAGATTTTTAAAATGAATCTTCTATAATCTAAATCCGGAAATCCGGCCGGATTTTAGCCAGTATCCGGCCGGATAGTCGGATAACAGAAAAACGGCCAAATAAGCCGGATTCCGGATATGTACCGGATACCCGGCACATCCCTACAATTAAAGTATTCGCAATCAAGCACGTTATATTTACAATTACAGTTCGGGATTTCAATTACAGTAATCGTAATTCTAAGTAAACAGAATGCAATCGTAATCATAAAGTGCCCAGCCCTGGTTAGGAGTATCACTTATGCATTTCCACAGCACCTGGACAAATATTCCGACTGAAAACGTTTCATTTTATCCTCGAGAGTTAAAATATTAATTAATATTAAATTTTGCTCTGATAATGTTGCTGGTTAAGAAGGACTTGTAAATGCTCGTTTCAAAATAATACCAATCCAATGCTTTTTCCTGGTAAAAATGCGTTTCTGACTAAAAATGTTTCTGGTTGTCAAGGCAGGCTTCGCTTTATCTTTGTGCTGCAACAACTTGTTTCCACGTCTTACATAATGTCGTCACTTGATTTGTGGTGAAAAACAGTAATTTTTGATTTGGAATCACAGTTTATTGGCATTCAGAGACCCTCCAATATGTCCAGCCTGGAATAGCATTTTTTTTTGTGGTCTCTTGACCTTGGAGACTGATGCCCGCCATTTGGCTGATATGATTTCTTTTTTTTATAGCGTGGACGATCAGAAACGTTTTGCAAAAACTTTGAATTTTTTTTTTGCTTGGTATGTGCACTTAAAGCACGCACAGCGAAAATCTCAAACACCTTGATTACAAAATTTCAGGAAATGAGCCAGGACTCCTCCAATGCAGTTCATTTTTATTCGGTAATTTTTTTCTGAGTTTCCATAGCGAATCTTAAAATGTTTATTGTCTAACTTAAAGTTAAACATTGGTAAGGCGAAGTGCAAATTTGAATTACCATAAATTTAATAAATTGAAAAAGTAGGTACATTACCACAAATTTGACTTTCCGTTTTATTGTTCCAATTTTGCTCTTCAGTCTACATACTTACATAAGCTCAGCCAAAAATATATATATATATATATATATATATATGGAGGAGAGTTGCCTCCTAAATATATATATATTTAATATTTTCAAACTAAAACCTTAAACATCTTTCTTTCAATTGCCTTATTCCCTGATTCCCAATTTGAGTCTTTAAATAGGAGGCAACTCTCCTCCATGAGGTTTAAAAATAATTCATCCAAATTAATAAATTTTTCTACCACGTCCAGTTTTTGAGAAAAAAAACTGTTGAAGTGGTAAAAGTGACAAATTTCAAAAACAAAAAAAAACATTAAAAATATAAATTTGGGCGTAGTTTTTCCGAAGAAAAAACACGTATTAATGAAAATCCAATTAGTCTGATGGCTTATACCTCATGTCGATGGATTGAGTAGAAAGAGGAGAAGAATTAAAAAAAAAAAATCTTAGTGAAACAAAAACACTAGCGAAGAACATGGTGAACGAATCCACCAGGACATAGAAACTATGTAGAAGTGGTATGATATGAAATCAAACCTCCACATGCTTGCTGACTGATTTGTTCATTAAATCACTTTGGTTTTAAAATAAATTCATAGATTGAGATTTTCGTATTTGTGGGAAAACAAGTGCATGTTATTGAAGAACTGAGTTTTTTTTTTATTTTTCACTCATTTCTGACCAACTCATCGACATCAGGTAGAATCCATCAGACGAATTGGATTTCAAAATTGTATAAAAAAAATTTGAAATTGGCCACTTTTGCAATTTTTCGACACTTCAAAAGATCTATAAGATAAAATAAGACCAAATTTTGTTTTTATATACATATCTATCTTTATACCAAGGTCCAGTACTGTGGATACCACAAATACTACTTCCAGATATATGCAGTATGCATAATTCCGTTTGTATGGGAGGTGCCACGACCGCTTGTCTAATCGATATTAAATCTATCTATATTTTAAGTTAAACTAAATGACAGCAGCAAAATTTCATGATGATTGGTTGCGTCCAAAACCGCATGCCAGTCGTGTCTCTTCTGTGCCAACTGACGCCAATTAGCAATGCCAAGTGAAACCAAATCCTTTTCCCCCATGTCTTTCGAACGCCTTCCTCTTCCTCTGTTACCAGCATCACGACCCGCGTTGAATACTTTCTGAGCAGTAGCGTTTCTGTCCATTTGAACGACATGACCTAGCCAGCGGAGCCGCTGAATTTTAATTCGCTGGACTATGTCCATAACGTAGCTCATACAGCTCATCGTTAAATCGTTAATGATTTTTGTACGACGAGAGAGGAATTTGCTTCTCAATTTCCTACTCAGTCCAAAGTAGCACTTGTTGGCGAGAGTGATCCTTAAAGCATTGCTCACTTAAAATCGGTACGCGTTCCAGCCATTCCTGTACGGCAATTGTTTGAATGTACTAAAAAGTTGCAATGCACATCGTTAGACAATAGATCTACCATTATGAGGTTGAAATTTCATAGTACTGGCTTATAATTTGACAGTTTTATTCCCGTTGGAAGTGGCTGCTCAAAAAATAACGTTGAACGAATTCGTTAAAAATCCGACACTCTTGAGATCAAAAATTAAATTAAAATTAAATGTACCAAAAACTTCTAATTTTCTTCAAAAATCAGTGAATGGATTCCTTCTGCTTAAACTAACAGAGTAAGCTAATCATAAAAAAAAATCATTTCGCACCAGCTCACAGTGGGGTAATCGACCCTGAAAGTGGCAATCAATTCATACGTACATTTGATTTAAAATATTTTGATGTATTTATATAGCTAGCACCAAATGAAGTAAAAAAAAGACAAATCCGAAAATAGTTTAGAGGGATTTTTTTTTTACGTGGGTTTTTAAGGCTTTACCAAAGAGCGAGAAAAGTTAAAATTTAGTTTTTACTCCCATAATTATTTTTTATTATTAATGATAATTTGTCAAAATCCTAATCATCATTAATTACAAGTTAAACTCCTCTTCGGTCATTATAATAATTATCCTCATCATTATCTTCATTACTATTTTCATCATCAACATCACCCACATCATCACCTTTTTAGGTAATTTTTTATATGATAATGAATACGAATTGTACAAATTTTCTCTTCAACAATTATCTACATGTTTTTGTTAAGCCTAGAAAGCAATTAAGAATATATAACCTTTAATAAAAATAATCATCATCTTCGCTGGCGTCATTGTCATCACTATCAACATCTTCATCATCGCTATAAGGCTGCATAATTAACAACTGTTGTGCTTCTTTCGGCAAATCCTGCAATTTTTTTTGGGATAGTTTTCTGATACTTGATACAACAGGGTCGGAACTAATCAAAAGTCCATTGAATATATCTTCATTCGTCTTTTTTCTGTTGCACTTGCGAGAAAAATGTTCTCTGTATCTTCTCATTTTTGTTGTTGGTAGAACGAAAAATGACACTGAAGATGGCACAACGCCGAAACCGGTTTGTCTCCAAACCAAATTTGACAAGGGATGACGGAAAATCGTTCCACATTACATCTTCTCTGTATCTCTTAAAATCTTTGATTCGCGCCTCTAGAGCTTCTTCTGACAATTGACGTTTATTTTGTTTTGAACACGGAAAACCTATAGAGGACTCAAGCCAACTTTTGTTTGCTTTCAAAAAACGTTCTTCGTGTCTACAGGACCTATTCCAACGAATTTTGAACTCAGAGATGAAATATCTCATCTTTTCAT